AAAAAGACACAGAAAAATGAATAAACATTATAAAAACGAGACGACACGTCGCAAGACAAAAAGCAAAGAAATAAAAACACAAAAAAGAACAGAAAGGAAAACAAAGACAAACATGACATATGAACCAAGACAAGACTGAAACGAACAACACAGACGCATGACAAACGCAAAACCTAAAAAGCTACAAAACGACCTTACCAAAAGACCAAACCAATACAAATCTAGCCAAGACGACCGACCGACTTAAGAACCAGAGAGAAAAAGCTGCAGATAGAAGAGGAAGCCAAGATAAAGAATAAGGTTAGTGGGGTTAGGATTAGTAGGGTTAGAACAGGGTAAAGGCACCTTTCCCTATGTACATTTTTGGGCGCATTGCTTACACAGTGTATTCATGCATTTCAAATTCAAAGACTCAAAAATCTACTCAATTAACAAAACACACTTTTGCATTGAATATGGCCGCAAAAATTGCCCCGGGAGCAATTCTGACGGATATGCAATGCTTGGGGCAAGTGTTGACGTGCATAGGGAAAGGTGCCTTTAGTGGGTTAGTTGAGATAGGGAGAGAGGAGGAAAAGGAGACCAGAAAGAAAGGATAGACAGAAAAGAAAGAAGACAAGCCTGAAAAAGTACATTCAAACCAGACCAGCCCGAGCCAATAGCCAGACTCTTAAAAAAAAAAAAAGAAAAACACATAAACACGAGACAAACAAGAAAATTTTTTTTTAAAAGCCAAAAGCTAGCAACTAGGACATGACAAGACTCACACAAGACAAAAGTACGACAAGACATTTGAGAAAAACATTACAGACTAAACAATATGACACGACACAATTCACAGAGGACAAGAGGAGACGAAGACAAACCAAAATAAGAGACAAAGACGTGACAATATGAGACGTGACAACATAAGACATAACCTACTTAACTAGACAGAAACAACAACGAAACAGGAAACAAAGACAAGATGCATAACAAGACAAAACCATTACAAGACCTGACACAACAAAAGACAAGACGGGATGAGACAAAAGGAGACAAGGACATGGACGGTTCGAGACAAGAACGGGAGAGACAGAGACGAGACAATACAAGACAAGGACAAGACGAGACGAGCAAAAGACACAATGACAAGACAACTCAAAGACCAGACAAACACCCAAGAGACAAAACAGGACAAAGACAGGACAAGATAAACAAAACAGACGATGACAAGGGACGACACAAGGCAACATGAGACAAGAAGGGACTAAAGGGAACAAGATAGGACAAACAGGATAAGACAAAGAAACAGTCCAAAACAAGAGACTACATACAGAACAAGACAAAAACACAGGAATACAAGACGAGGACGAAGGGCACAAGGAGACAAGACAATAACAGTACAAACAAAAGACTTAAGACAAGAGGAGACTGTAGACAAACAACACAGGACAAGACATTGGTCTCACATGGGCAGGGATTACCACTCCCCTGGGGTACTGATTGTCAGGAAATGGAAAAATGTATAATTTGTGTGGGTTTAATATCTTACAAATCTTATTCTGCTCCCCTGGTTCCCGGGATACTTTCCAACCTTATACAACCCAAACAGAACTATCTGTGGTATGCAATGATGGAGGACATGATGTTTACCTCACTTCCTAACCCAGTCCATTGTTTTAAGGGAACTTTCCCACAGTCCTGACCAAGTATTTTTAGAAACAGAATGCCTGTTTTCATTCTTTGGGAGATTCATTAAACTGGAGGTTACAGGTTGTTGGACCCTGGGAGAAAATCTGCTGATCCTGCTGATTAGCAGAGTTACACAATGAACCTTCAAAGATTTGACCAATGGGGAAGCTTATATGCAAATCAAACTTTGAGGAAGGGTTGGTCAAACTTGGAAGTGACCAATCATAGTCTTGATGGAAATGTCCATCAAGAGACTATAACAGGCATTTAAGGGCCTATTTTGGGGTCCGAATTCAGTCTGCACCACCACCCAGCAGACCACTGGTCAACAGCCCGACACTCAAGTCTACACAGTAGCCATGGGGTCCTTAGTAATCTACCTCTGTGTAACTTCATTTTCAAATTTATTTTGATTACTTAGTATAATAGACTGTGTTACTTCTGATGTTGATGGACTTGTATTGT